GTTTTTTTTTATTTAAAACTGCTATAACTTTTTCAAAAGTGAACAAATCAAAATAATTTTTTTTATGTAGAACCTTAGGTATTTTCCTTTCATTTGATAGTACTATCTAACTATTTGGGGTCATCTCATACATTGATTTGACAAGATTTTTACACAAAGTAAGGCAACCTTATTATTGCTGAAGGAGCAAATGTAAATTAATTGTAATGTGCCGAATTTTTATTTTTAAATAAATAATAAATAATTTATATCTTTTATATTTGACGAATTTCTGAGAATTCCCAGCTTCTATAATTAAGTACTAGGAGAAGATATAATTATTATACCAAATATTTTTCTTTTCAATTTTTATAATATTTCAAAAATGTTTGTCTTCTAGGTTTAGAAGAAGTGAGGTGTCAATAATTTACTTATTTTATTATTAATAAATACAGGGTGATTTTTTTATCATAACCCACTCAATTACTTATAGAATAATAGTAATTTAAAATTTTTTTTTATTATTATCTTTAGTTACACATTATTCTTGAATTATTAACTATGTAATACTTTTAAAGTTCATCCCTTATGCCTTGGAGGGGGGTCAACTTTGTTTTTTTAAATGGTAACACATATTTTTAATTTAATAAAATGTTTGAGTTTTTAATTTAATAGTAAATGGCGTTTGAATTTTTAATATAACTTTATTAGCTTATTAGATATAAACATTTAAAGTTTCAAAATTTTGAGTTAATATACATGTATAATACACATGGGATTGTAAATACAGGTAGCTAATTGGATTTTTATGACATTGCTGTCTCAGTCACGGATTGTTTATTATCAATTATGAGTATCAATAGATATACTTTTTGTATTGTCAATTAATGTATTTATAAACTCACAACAATGTACCTTACTATCATTGATAATAACAATGCTGTGTACCTGCTAATATCGATGTCATAAAAAATCAATTAGCTACCTGTATTTGTAATCCCTTGTGTATTATACCTATATATTAACTCAAAAATTTGAAACTTTAAATGTTTATATCTAATAAACAAATTAAGTTTCATTAAAAATTCAAATGCCATTTATTGTTGAATTAAAAACTCAAACATTTTATTAAATTAAAAATATGTGTTATCATTTAAAAAAACAAAGTTGACACCCTTACCAAGCATAAGGGATGAACTTAAAAAGTATTACATAGTTAATAATTCAAGAATAATGTGTAACTAAAGGTAATAATTAAAAAAAATTTTTAAATTATTATTATTCTGTAAGTAATTGAGTGGGTTATGATAAAAAAATCACCCTGTATAAGTAAATAAAATAAAACATAGATTTGTAATGACGTACATTGCAAAACTACACAGACAGTTGTGATACACAAACAAGGTAGACAAATATTGCAAATAAATTAAAATTTGTTTTAAAATATCTTTCAAGACTAAATGTGATTATTATAATAATTTTGATAAGTAATAATTGTTATCATGTACATAATTTCTCAAAAGACCGACTGTAATATTTTTAGTATAACTATATACATATTTATCAACCAGCTGAGTTCACTTTTAATAATAGAAATAAAAAATACATATTGGAAATTATTTCAAACCTATAGATTATTGAAATATGTATGCTTTTAAATACATTAGTGCTTAATTTTATAAAAGTAGAAACTATATTTTATAACGATGTTTACCTGTCAATATTTAAATGTGTCAAACTCATTTTTTATTATCGTCCCGTCTTTAAAAATTAAAATATCTAAAAAAACATTTTCCTTTGCTACATATTTATTTTGTATTTAAGGAAATTAAAAAAAAACATCACATAAAATGAATAATACGTATAAATGAAATATATTTTGAATGATGTACAAATGTTATTTAAGATTTATAGGACAGGGTAATTCTTTAATTATTCCTCACGAATCTTGAAAATATTAAAGTTAATCATTATTTAAATTTCTTAACTACAATAACTATAATAATTCTTTGTTGATCTACAATATATGAAAAATTAATAATTTTCTGCTACCATCCCTTGTATCCTGAACTCATAACAATTTTCGATTTTCAAATAGCAACCCAAGTTTATTTGAACATCATCAGATTTATTCAATTGAAAAAAAAACATTTTATTTGAAAATGTTTTTATGTTATTAGGTTTTCGACGAGTTACAGCTCTTTGAGGCTTAGAAGTGACCAGAAAAGAGTGCACTTATTTTTAAAACACTACATCTTTTTTGCTGCTGGTTTATAACATGTGTGTATAGTTTATCTTTTATTTCTATGAACCGATAGAGTTTATCAATATACGTCATATAATGTTGCCGCCTTTTAATAAATAGTACG